GTCTCATCCATCCTCAACTGGTAAAGCGGATCGGTCAAAATGTGCAACAAGGCGCCTTGTAAGATACGACTGCCCATGCCTAATCCGGATGCGCGCGCATTTTTCAATGCCGCAATGTGAGAAGCGCTACCACCAATAATCGTCGAACGCAGATCGAGGCCGAAAGCCTTACAGAACGAGCGGACCAATATTGTCTGTTCGGGCAACCACTTGCCAATGCTCTCTGCCGAGGTTGAACAAATAGGGCCGAGAGGGTCATCTTCAATAATATGTACATTTGGATGGTGCTGCAGCACGTTGGCTAGCGCTTTGGCACGCGCAGCGCTCATTGATAAACCAAGCGGCAGATGGGCACGTGGCTGAAAAATAAAGGCAACAGGTTTATGGGTTAACGCAGACTCCAATGCGGCGACTTGTGGGCCTTCTTCGTCCCACGCCACACCGATTCCGGTAATACCAAGTAGCGATAAAATCTGTAGCAGACGCGGCGTGGTAGGTTGCTCAACAGCGACCACCGATCCCGCTTTGGCAACTGCGCTGATCGACACCAGAATACTTTCAGAACTGGCGCCGGTAATGGTCCAGTCTGCCGCAGGGAACGGCCAGCTGCTTTCAGCATACTTCGCCAGAGGATCAATAACATAGTCGAGTTCCGCGGAGTGTAAATTGTTGACCTTTAAACCAGCCATAAGCGCGGGACCAAGATCGAATTGCAGGTGAGGATCGGGAGAAGCGGTCGAGAGATCGAGCTGCGCCGGGAGCTCACGTTCAACGGCATACCGTGCAGGTTCAATGATGTAACTTCCCCCACGACGTCGAGTATCAACGTAACCTGCTGCGCGAAGTTTTGTCCATGCGTTAGCAATGGTGCTGGAACTGACCTCCAGCCTGGCGGCTAAATCACGTACAGTTGGCAGGCGTGCGCCAACCATCAGTTGACCATCCTTAACCAGGTTAATGATCGATTGTGCGATGCCTGTGGGTTCTTTTGATAGACCGGCTGCTAACCATGCTACATCGATTTGCTCATCACAATTCACGGACATGTCATGCCTCTTTCCATTGATTGACTATCAAAAATATAAACGTAATTACGCTGAACATAAAATAACTTCAATTCATATCTAAATACTCTTTTACTAAGTTCACATTTTGACATTGATATATGCATGCAATGCATATCGATTGAACATTAACGGCAATAAAGGCGTGAACATAAATTTATGCGCTTCAATGATTCTATCAGTCTAAAAGAGAAATAGCGGGACTTTAACGCTGCTAAATCAAATGTGATTTAACAATTTAATGTTATTAAATCAATGCTTTAAGTTCTAAATTAACTGTTTATTGCAAGATGCTGAAATTAATCATTCCTCTGTTTTAATCTGGCGTGAACATTAGTAAACATAAAAAGCATTATATCCATATGACCAAAACATATTTGACCCTTGATTGCCGTAATCCTTATAAACGAGGCAACTTAAATCGTGTTGAAGGGAAAGAAAATGGGCTATGTGATCGCACAAGTTAACTATGACAGTAACTTCCAGGACGGCATCTCGCGTGAAGATAAATTGAAGACAGCTGAGAGAAGAACAGAAATCCCTGGGTTTCTCTGGAAGGTATGGCTGCGTGATGAAAACGCACAGCGCGGCGGCGGGTTGTTCTTGTTTGATAGTCGTCCCGCGGCCGAAGCCTGGCTGGCATCGCGCGCCGAACAACAGTTCCATGAGGTTTACAAGAACATCACTGTTGAGCTGTTTGATGTTGATGAAGAACTTAGTCTTATTTCCAATGCGCCACTGAGTGTGCCTGCTTAAGGAAATACCATGAGTATTGAAATTTATGGGCATTTGACGCACCGGAATGAGTCCGAAATTCATTTAGCGACCGGCCCCAGCTTGGATATTGACTACATCAAGCGTCAATCACAGGAACATGAAGCAGCCGGTTTTGACGGAGTACTGATTGGTGTTGGCAGTGACGGGCCAGACAGCCTGCAAATTGCAGCGCTGGCCGCAGGTGTGACCACCTCGCTGCGTTTGCTGGTGGCGAATCGCCCTGGACTAATTAATCCAACCTGGGCGGCACGTAGTTACGCCACCCTGGATCGTATTGCCAATGGACGCATCGGTTTCCACGTTATTACCGGCAGAGAGAGTGACGGCACGCGTAAAAATGGCGATCTGCTGACTAAAAATGAACGCTACGCGCGCACCAAAGAGTTTATTCAGATTCTGAAAAGTGCCTGGACGCAGCATATTCCCTTTGATTTTTCCGGTCAGCACTATGCGATTGAAGGTTTTGCCGCATCAGTATTTCCGCTGCAAACCCCACGCATTCCCGTCTATTTCGCGGGAAATTCCGATTTGGCTTTTGATGTTGGCGCGGCAGAAGCCGATCGCTACGCGTTGTATGCGCAACCGCTGGAGTTTCTCAAGCAAGATATCGAACGAATCAATCAAGCGGCTATTCGCGCTGGTCGTGAAGATCGCCCAGGCATCATTATTTTGGTCAGATTGATTGTGGCTGAAACCGACGAACTCGCATGGCAGAAAGCGGCTGAG